CCCCCTGTCGCAAGAAATGCATTAAATATTTCACACATTATCTTCAAGTGAAACATAGCTCTTCTTTTCATAAAAAACTTTCACGAGTAAAAAATAAAAAGAGAGGTATATTATCTTGCAATAGATCGTTAGCTCGTCAAACTTTGAGGAGGTGGAGAGGTATATTAAGGTTTTTCATACCTTATATAAAACTTTACACGAGCGGAGCGTTTGCATCTATATTTTTTTCTCTTCATAATATTATAGTTGAAGTTTTTTTTTTGTAGATCATTTAGAACAAAAAATGCTGAGGAACACGATGAGCAAAAAAATTATGTTTCCATAAGTCGTACAGGTGCAGATATTCCGCCGAATGTCTATGACAAAGGATCGTTTTGACATAATACGTGAAAGAAACGTAACGTCAAGGTGGTTTTAAAACGAATATATTACACAGTTTTTTTTTAATGAACTTAAAACTGAAACTGAACTGTTCTGTTTATGTGTTCATTATAGTGTTCCTTACGAAAATATGGCGTCACTACATAATGAAAAAAATGTTAATAATATAATTACTACTTAAGGAACTAGACAACATTTCCAATATATTTCAAGTTTTTAATAATTATATACTCGTGAAATTTTAATTTATATGTATACGTTTTTTCTACTTCAACACATATTTTACATTTTTAGTCTCCTGTTTTATGTTCGTGTTAACAAACTGGGAGTACGTTTTGTTACAACATATCGGCGTTGAACTTGTTACAAAGTTTTTTTCTGCTGGACATAATACTTTTTAGATTTGCGTTGTGTCAAAATAATAAACATTACGATAGAGCTATTTACAATTTTTTTAATTTTTATGATGGAAACCGCCATAGATAGAAATAATAGAATTCTAACGAAAAAGTGATACAATACACAAATCCAACGTCTTATTTCATGTTACAATGTCTTAAACACAGGTAAGACATGAATATCATCGTACGAATCATTATTTACTGATATTTATCATTGATATTTGAAAAAACACTATTTTTCAAAACAATGATAACAAAAACAACAAAACTGTGCAGTTTGTTTATCAAACGTACTAATTTTCTTCCTTCATATAAACTACTACAAAATGTTAATAATATACATATTCAAGTGTATGTTCTGTAAAAAGATATCATAAATATCATTATAACAACAACCAAGTTTATCTTTACTCTTTAACTGTCCACTTGGTTAAGTTTTTATTTATAATTAGCTATATTTATATCGTAATTAGTCTACCTATATTTTTTCAGAAATAAATTTGGTGTTACCGCAAATAAAGCACATCATGATTTTATTCGCTCATTGCCAGTAAAAATGATATGTAGCCAGCAGATGTTTTTAATAACTAAATAAATTGATATAAAGTTACTACACATAAAAAAATGCTATACAAGTAAGATAACTCCAATATGTACGATGCTAAGAGATTTCGTTAATATTAACAATAAGAAGCTGGAAGTCACGTGGGTGACCCCGCAACTTATTCTCATTTCTTTTCTTTTTTTGGATCTATGCAACAAAAAACTCTGTGCGACACATATTGGAGTTAGTCTACTTAAGAATACAAAAAAAAAATACAATAATTTTCGTTTATAAGCTACTTTCTTCTTCACGCACATTTTTACGAACATTAGTTTGAGTAGGTAAAACACCGTCGATTAACTTACAAACGAAAACTACGGTATTTATAAAACAAATAGAAAAAACCTTACGCTGCAAAACGTGGACACCGTTAGAGGGAATAGTTTTCCCGCTGTGATGCGAAAAGATTTATTGACACGTAACATCAATAAAACAATAATTCTTTGCCTCCTCGACTCTAATTTGTACCACTCAAGGTCGCATAAAGTACGATATAATGCTTCACACTTACAATGCAATTTACATTAATTTAAAATGTTTATACGAAAAAGAAAAAATATATTTATATATAGCTTACCTGCTCTGTTACAAATTCTCCAGCAGCACAATAAAGAAACGTATATGACAACAAAATAATAACAACCAAAACTTGGAAACATTTTCGTGAAAAAGGTATGTTATTCGTGTCATTACCAGAAATTATCTGCAAAATGCGATTTATTAAGTAGAAATATGATACAATATCTAAATCGATAGTTTGTGCATATTTTCGTTGAAAAAAATGAAGATTCGCAAAGTATAGTATTATATTTTTTCTCACTCTTGAACACTTACAGAAACTATTAGAAATCCGTATAAACAAAACACAATAGCAAAATAAAATACCAGTCCCAACATCATGAAAGAGAATGTATCTTCGATATTATCAGCAAATCTATAAAAGTATATGTAAAAATGCTTCTAAATACATAAATAATTATATTACCACAACTATAAAAACAATTGAATTAAGAAAACATTTCTGGTAAATCTCTCTCTAAAACATAGGTGGCAATTCAGTTTAACTGTAATAATGAAGATAAAATCTACAAAAACCTTACTAGTCGTAGATGAATCTTTACGTTATTACGTAAAGCGCAGTCGAAATTGTTATTTGAAATCAAGGTGAGCAATTTGCGTTTGAAGTTCTCCAACTGACCACAAATGTGAAAGATCGTGAGTCCAAAAAAAGCGTTCACCGACGCATATGCGATTACGCCCAAAAATATCGATAAGGCTTGGGCTGCGAGCGTGAGTTCGAATTGCGGACTTTTATTCGTGTCGTAAAAATAATGCGTTTGCAGCGGCAGCTGTCTGTCTCCGTCGGTGAAATTCGTTATATATCTGTAGTGCAAGCCGAACGCAGGAAGAATGATGATCATGATATAAGCAAATAGCATTGAAAGGTATCCGCAGATCACGATTAAACGAGCAGATCGTGCTCGTCTTATCATCACGTCTCTTTCCGCGTTTAGTTTTACTTCGATCCAATCTTCCGCTATCATTCTCAGAATGAGCAAAACGCCTAAAAGAACATCAAACTGTGTCAAAAACTTCATACATAAATTACGTGCGTATAAAATTATTACATTGTACCCGCATTATTTATTTTTTGCAACAAAGTCCATATTCAGATTTCTTTACGTACCTTTTTGTTTCCACCACATGACGATGAGTTTCAGCAAAATCACACCTACCGGTAGAGTCGCTTGAAGATTGTCTATGATAAGTATCATATCAGTCCACACTCGCACGAGAGAACATAGAAGAGGAATAAAGCAAAAGAAAGCGACTAGAATAAAAGTAACAAGCGCGCGGATATCGGAAACAGCGCTATTGACTGCGTCGTCAGTTTTCGGCCATAAACCGACAAACTCCAAACCGTATCGATTCAGTTCAACCGCCCAAACATAATCTAACGAAAAATTTCCGTAATAAAAAAGAATTATATAAATTAATAAACTGTTATACATTTTTGATCATTGCAAGTTTGTAACATTAAAGAGCTAAGAAGATATTTTTACTAAACATCGTGATGAACACTAGATACCTCGATAGCCTGAATGCGCGAAAATATCCATGTCGCAGTCTACTCGGACGCACTTTATTTCTTACTATGTTGCTGTAAAAAGCGATCATCACTTCAATATGCGAGCGAAACAACTTACCCCCTGTCGCAAGAAATGCATTAAATATTTCACACATTATCTTCAAGTGAAACATAGCTCTTCTTTTCATAAAAAACTTTCACGAGTAAAAAAT